ACCGGGGCGCTTTGGGGCGCTCTTGGAAATGAAGAATGTGATACAGTACAGACAGGTGAGTCTGGTGGGTTTGGGGTAACCTGAAGGCATGTGACTTGAAGGCATGTGACACACCCAGCAGCAGCGCACCTGAGGAGCTCGTGTTCAAACGCACCTGAGGAGCTCGTGTTCAAATGCACCTGAGGAGCTCGTGTTCAAATGCACCTGAGGAGCTCGTGTTCAAACGCCATGCCCCGTGCGTTGTTGCTGACGGCGATGAACTCGGGTGGCTTGCTGTCCTCCCTCGCCGCCCACGGCCCCAGCACTGCCACGGCTGAGCCGTCCCTCATGGCTGCTCGCAGCGGGGGCAGCAGGTTGGACTCTGCATGGGGGAAAGAATGGCGCAGCGGATAGAAAGAGGAGGAGGTAAGTCCACAGGACCAGCAGCGCCATGCTTCATTACTGCTGATAGTGGGGCCAACAGGTGGGAGTCTGGATGGGGGAGGGACTGGGGAGGGGCGGGGGAGCAAGAGGAGAAGCTAAGCCCACGGTCCCGATACATTCAGTGCAGAGCAGCTCCTCTTGACTGCTAGCAGCGGAGGAGCAGGTGGAGTCTGGATAAGAGAGGGAGGGGGAGATGACCTGCGGCCGAGCCAGAGGAGGACATAAGCCCAGTGCACCGACATAGTTTTTGCAGAGGGGCTTGTCATGACTGTTAGTAGTGGTGGGAGCAGGTGCGGAGTGTGGATGGACAGAGGAGATGGCGCAGGGGGGAGCAAGAGGAGGAGCTCAGCCCATGGCGCCAACACAGCCGGTGCGGCCGGGGGATGGTCATGGCTGGCAGCAGCGGCAGTAGCACGTGCGAGTGTGGATGGTGGGGGGAGCAGGAAAGCGGAGAGAGTAAGGCCATGTATGGAGCAGCATGGCGCATGATGCGAGCGCGCTACATGGCCACACACACAGCGACGTCAGAGTGAACACACCCAACCAGTAGGGCACCGAACCAGGGTTGCACCTACCCAGCAGAGCACCGAAGGCGCGGGCGGTGGGTTGCTGAATGAGGTCGTGCAGAGTGGTGCCCACCAGCGCCATGTCATACTCGCCCCCACGCCCCTCCCTGCCGCTGCTGCCACCCCTGCTGCTCTCCTCGCTGCTGCTACTACTGCCGCTGTCCCCACTGCTCGCATCACTGGTGCCAGCACTGCTGCTCTCATGACGGCGCGAGGCAAAGAGGGTGAGCTGTGGCCCCACGAGGGCGGGGTCGCTCATCCACGCGGGGAACACGGGCTTCATGGCGCCACACTGCGACACGTACGTCAGGTTGAACGCCCAGGAGGGGCTGTCCGCTGTAGCTTTGGCCTTGTACCTGGTGGGGCGGGTGCGGAGGGTGGGGCGGCAGAGCGGTCAGACAGGGGCGGGAAAGACGGGGATGGGAACACGGGCTTCATGGCACCACACTGCGACACGTATGTGAGGTTGAAGGCCGAGGGGGGGCTGTCCGCTGTTGCCCTCACCTTGTACCTGGTGGGTGGGTGGGTGCGTGGGGCGCAGTGGGTGGGTGGGTGGGTTGGTGGGGCGCAGTAAGTGGGAGGCGGGGTCGCCCATCGACGCGAGGAAGACGGGCTTCACGGCGCCACACTGCGAGATGCAGGTGAGGTTGACGGCCGCTGCTGGCCTGCCCGCTGCTGCTCACACCACACCTTGTACCTCGTGGGACGGGTGGGACGGGTGGGACGGGTGGGATGGGCAGAGCAGGGCAGGTGGGGCGGGTGGGAGGGGCGAGGTGGGACAGCGGGGTGGAGTGGGACAGCGGGGTGGAGTGGGCGGCAGGAGGGTGCGAACGCAGAATGGGATGGGGTGGATGGGATGGGACACAATGGAACAAGACTGTGTGGGATGGGATGTGTGGGCACAGCACGTACAGGGCGCGGCCATAGCCGTTGAAGCACGTACAGGGCGCGGCCATAGCCGTTGATGCACGTACAGGGCGCGGCCATAGCCGTTGATGCACGTACAGCGCGCGGCCATAGCCGTTGAAGTTCTCCCCGTGGAAGAAGAAAGAGGAGCCCGGCTGCTGACACACGCCCGTCGAGATGAGCTCGCCCGTGCTGCTGTTGATTGGCAGGTAGATGGAACCGTTGCCACGTGGCACACTGCCACAGGCCAGCATGTTGGGCCAGAACACCTGTGCCGAGGCGGGAGAGTGTGCGGCAGGGGGAGCGGGAAGAAGAAATGAAAGAAGAGGACAGCATGGTGCGAGGGGAGAGGTGTAGGTAGGTAGTGGGTATTGAGAGGTAGTGGTGGTGGAAGCGAATCAAGACAAAGGAGAAGAGGGGAGTAGAGAAAGGTAAGAAAAAGAGAGGGAACGGTAGAAACGAGTTGGCCAACCTAGGAGGCTCCAGCAGCGGCACGACACAGCTGTGCACGGCTCACCTCTGACTTTACTGCCTTGTATATTTGACACCTGCCATGGAAGATCCGCCTTGGGCTTGCCTCCTCACCTTGGGCTTGCCTCCTCACCTTGGGCTTGGCAGCAAACTTGGTGAGGAAGGCGGCGCGTGAGGGGGAGCGGAGGAAGAAGCGCAGGAAGCCGAAAGTGTAGCGCAGCTGGGAGTCCCCGAGGAACAGCAGCGAGCGACCGTTGAAGCATGCGTGCAGCACGGAGGGGGAGAGGCGGCGCAGGCGACACGCGAGGGGCTGCCAGAGGTGGCCCATCCAGTAGCCCGCGTGGTGGGATGCCGCTAGGAGGGGGGGTGTACAAAAAGGCAGGGTGGCTCTGAGTGGGGAGAGGTGGATGGGGGAGGGGGAGGGGGGATGGGAGGAGGAGGGGGAGGGGGAGGGAGAGGGGGAGGGGAAGGGGGAGCGGGAGAGAGGAGAGGTGGCAATGTGAAAGAATACTAGCACAGCTGGGAGTGACGGAGTAGAAGCAGGGGGCGCCCGTGAAAGCACGTGTGCATGGTGGGGGGGAAGAGGCGGCGCAGGCGACACCCGTGGGGCTGCGAGAGGTGGCCCATCCAGTAGCCCGCGTGGTGGGATGGCGCGAGGAGGGGGGGTGTGCAGTACGGCAGGGAGGCTCTGACAGGGGGAAGGAAGAGGGGAGATGGAGGAGGAGCGAGAGAGGTGGCGTTGTGGAAGGATGGCTGCAGAGAGGGAGAGAGGGAGACGAGGGGAACAGGGGCAAACAAGGGAGTTTGTTGAGGGTAAACAGAGGGAGGCAAAGCGAGAGGCACGGAGGGAACAAGTGAGGTGTTGAGGGAGGGGAAGAAGGCATGAGGTGGGTTATGCGTTGTAGGAGGCTCCTCAAGAAGTGGTTTTGGGCCGGCAGAGCGGGATGATCAGAAACGTGTGCGGTGGGCAGCAGTGATGAGAGGTGGCAGGCTGAGAGAAGGAGAGCTTTGAGAGATAAGAGAGAGGGGAGAGGGGGGTGGAATGGGGTGAGCTGGAGAGACGAGGGAAGTTGTGTAAGAGCAGGGAGATAGGAGTGAGGTAACTCTGGGCGTTGAAGGGAGGTGAGGACAGGTGGGACACACTGCAGCAGTCCCCTGAACGCCCCATTGCATGGCATGGCATGGCATGGCATGGTACGCACCTGTGTGCGTGAAGGGAGAAGGTGGGCGGCGCCGATGCTTGAATGGCGTGCGAGTGCACCACCGTGTAGCTTCAGGTGGAGGAAATGGGGTGGGAGGGAAGGAGAGGAATCGAATTAATGGGAAGCGATGAAGGGAAATTGATGTACCGAGTGCATGTTGACTTGGGGATGCCACGCATGCAGCCACGCATACACCCATGCATGCCCCCACACATGCCCCCATGCATGCCCTCATGCATGCACCCATGCATGGCCCCACGCATGCACCCATGCATGCGCCCATGAGTGTGGCCTCTCAGAATCAGTTGTTTCACAACCCTCCAAGGCAGTTGCGTGAACCTGCACACCCCTTGACTCTCTCCCCCCTCCCCCTCTCCCCGCCCCTCCGCCTCACTTTTTAAGCCCCAGTGGGGGTTCCCCTTCCATCCTCCCCCCCACAACCCCCAACCCCCTCGTTCCCCTACCCAACCCCCTTCCCCCTACCCCCCCCGCCCTCACTTGGAGAACCCCCCGTCGAAGGCGGTGCGGGCGTTGGAGCGCAGGAGGAGGGCGGTGGCGGAGAAGAGCAGGTGCAGGGAGAGGGTGTAGCGTCCTGGCAGGGGCAGCTGGTAGCACACCTGGGGGAGGGGGGGGAGGGATGGGAGGGGATGGGAGGGGATGGGAGGGGATGGGAGGGGATGGGAGGGGATGGGAGGGGATGGGAGGCAGGTGAGAGGAGGGGTGCGTGATGAAAATATTGGCGGACGAAGAAGCGGTCGGGGAAAGGGTAGGGTAGCGTGGATGCGATGGCATGGTGGAGAGGGACGTATTGTTCCATGGGGAGGGACGCGTGGGTGGGAGGGCTGGGAGGGTATTCACCTGGTGGGACGAGTTGCCAGGGTGGTATGTCACCTGCGCTGCCATGCGCACATCCACACCCTCCCCTTCCTCCACCTCCGCCTGCTCCGCGTTCCCCCCTGTCTCCCCGCCCTCCCCCTGTCCTCCCGGCCCCCCCTCCTCCCCCTGCTCCCACGCCTCCAGCAGCACGGCGGCCCGCCCAGCAGCGGCCCTCTCATGCGCGCTCACAGCCACCGGCACCTCCGTCACGCACGCACTGCCCTGCCCCGCCACACCCGCGCTGCTCCCACTGCTGCTACCGCCGCTGCCGCTGCCCCCCTCGTGGGCATGAGTGCTGCCGTCGGTGCTCCCCCGGCGGCGCTGCAGCGCAACCAAGGCCACCAGGAACGCCCTCTGCCTGACGGGGGACAGGAGACACTAGTTAGTCAGGTTTTTAATGGGGGTGACACGGAAAGGGAGCGTGAGGGCAGGAGCAGCAAGAAAAGGAAGGGGCGGAGGCACGAAAGAGTGGATGATGATGTGCGAGGAAGAAGACAGAAACACGGGCACAGCGAGATGCATGCGCACACAGCCATGGCTTATTGGCAGCAACGGCCTACCTGCACCCGTTGTCAAACGGCCTCTCATTGGCGTCCAGCACTGCACGGCGCACACAGAGGGCAGCAGGAATGGTTGAAAAGGCAGGAAGCGGTGGAGATGAGATGAGAGCATCCCCACCGCACAAGGACATGAGATCACCTTCCCAATCCCCCACCATAGCCCCCACTGGCCACACACAGCCCCCACTGGCCACACACAGCCCCCACACTGGCCACACATAGCCCCTACGCTCCTCCCACACTGCCCGCAGCACCTCTGCTCCTCTTCTCACAACACGGCGTAGCATGGCAACATGCATTATGCCGCACGCTGCATGAGTCGCTTCTCTAACAATGTCAGCTTAGCTCATCCGCCTCTCCCATAGGTTCATCGCCGCAAGTCTGACCTCTTTCCTCTCCCCATTCCCCACCCCTTCCCCCTCTCCCCCCTCCCCCCTCTCCCCTCTCACCCTCTCCCCTCCCCCTCCTCACCTCACCTCGCACCGTGAAGCACACCTCCTCGTTCACCCTCGCCTCCGCCACGCCCCCCTGCCCGCCCTCCACCCCTTTCCCCTCCACCCCCTCCCCCTCCACCACCACGCGTCCAAACGACGTGTGTTCCTCCGCCTGCCACGCGCGCACGTCCTCCTCTGAGAGGGCAGCGCACTCGCATGCTGCTTGCTCTGCTTGCTCCGCCGCCTCTGATGGACCCCCCGCCCCACTGCTGTTACTGCCAGCGGACGTGCTGCCATCCGAAGCATCAACGGTTGAGATTGAGCCATCTGAGGCCCCAACATCTGTGCTCGCACCATCTGTAATCCCAACGGCTGCAGCACCTACAGCTGCAGCATGTGCTGGTGGAGGGCTCACCCGCCTCCGCAGCTCCCGCTGTCGCCGCCTTAAGCCACGGGCCTTGCTGCTCCGCTACCCTTCCCGCGCCCGCAGCTTCACCCGCGTCCACCCTGCGCGCAACTGCATCAGATGCACCCGCGCCCGCAGCTTCAGAGTCAACAGTCCCCAACGCAGCGGCACTGTCGACCCATCCTCCCGAACCCTCCCCTATGGCCACCTGTCTCGCGCCCTCCCCTATGGCCACCTGTCTCGCGCCCTCCCTTATGGCCACCTCTCCCGCGCGTCCCACTACCAGGCGCGGAGCCACGCCCGCCTGAGAGGCGAACAGCGCGCAGCCCCACGGGAAGAGCGCCGCCCATGCCTGGCCGCCCGCGGCTGCGGGAAGGATGGGGGAGGGGGAGAGGGGAGGGGAGGTGACGGGCGGAAGAGGGGAATGTCGCAGCACGGCGCAGAGCGGCGCTGTACTGCACGCACTCTGTCGCTGAAGAACGTAGGACACCTCGACGACCTCTGCGATGAGTGTACGAAACCTGGGCAACGAGCGTACGAAACAGAGCCGACGCGCGTGCGATAAGTCGGCGACGAGCGTGCGACAAGTCGGCCACGAGCGTGCGATACCTTGGCGACTAATGTAGGATCGCAGCAGCAGCACAGCGAGCGCGAGGGCGAGCAGCGCCTGCGTGCTGATGAACGCTCCCGAGGCGCCGTGAGCGCGGCGAGCTGCGCGGAATGGCGGGGCGGAACGATCGGGGGAAGGATAGGGGGGAAGGATGGGGCGCGAGGCGCGGGAGAGGAACGAAACCGAGAGGTGGAGAAACGGGCAGTGGGCCGCGGCAACCCAACGTCGCGAATGCTTGCTCTACTCCCTAGCGGAAAATGGAGCGAAAGCGGTTGGGCGGGACTAATCGCAGCACGTACCGCGAGCCATGCGCGTCCACCATCAGGTGCTCCGCTGTCAACGGGACGAGGGTAGCAGCTTCGGGCGCGTCAGCAGCGAGCAGGTTGGCAGGCGCGTTTAGAGACTTCATCGCGGACAAAATAATCACATAATTTGACGGAGTAAACAAGTACGCGAGCCACGTAGCAGTTGGGAAGGGAAGCATGCCCGTGGCTTATGTATTTGCCGAAAATTGTGCGACCAATCGCAGCCGCACATCTCGAGAGTGTTCAGCCCTGCTTCCGTGAGGCGATAGCATCAATCTTCAATTCGACGCATGAAATCCCATGCTGCTGGGTCCACGCTGGTTTCCGCACGCTGATTTCGCGCCGCAGCGCATGGAAGTAGCACGTAAATGTTCGACTCTGGTTCAGTTGTTGAGTGCAATTCACTGATAACCTATTGGTTAAAGCAAGTATACATTTAAGTTGGGTTCGGAGTTTGAATAGTGTGCCTCATGAAATCTCCACAATGGCTCTGTTCTGTAGGCTCTGGCGGTGGGGGGGCGAGGGGAAATAGGTAGCTTCCCCCACTGCGTTATTTGGGTTCGAAAGGCGGTCAGCCCGCAAAACGTTGCCGAGCCAGCCATTTCCCCTCCGAACCTGTTCGAGGGGAAATGGCTACAGAACAGCCATTTACCCTGGTGGGTTTTGGCCCTCCTCTGGCAAAAGTCAAGTCATTCGCCCCGCCCTACGAAACCCGCTTTTTCAGGGCGAGGCGAGAGACATGGGAGGGATGTACGGTGGGTGGGGACACCCATCTACTACCCTCTGTCGAAGAGAAAAGGCCCCGACCTCGCTTGGGCGAAGTCGACCAGGAATTTCGGAACAGAACGGTGTTCGTTTCGTGGTCATCGGCGACTTCGGGGACTTTTATCTGTGTTCGACGAGTCGTTTGTCGACAAGATTAAATGGTCGAGGTAGAAGTGTTTCCACTGCTCGATCAAAGTCTTAGTCTACGAAGAGCTCATCGACGGGAGTAAAACAGCGTCGAAGACGCGCCGTTCTGATGGACGGAATTGGCAGAATTGGTGTTTCGACGGATTGGTGGTCGACAGAATTGAGTTCGACGAGTGTTTCGTCGAGCAGAGCGATTCTGGTCGACCAGAATTACTTAGATCTGAAATTTGCAATGTGCGCGAATTTCGCCCAATCACGGAACAGCAAAATTTCGACCAATCAGGTAATTTCGGAAATTGTACTCCCCAGGAGAATTCGATTCAGTAAGGAAACAGAACCTGAAACACGTTTTTACTAACAGTAAAAACGTGCACAACTATGAACGTTGTAAACCTGAGAAACTACCAACTCAGGTGAAATCTGCATGCGTTTGTCGTTTCACCTGCCGTTGCTGACTCGACAGATTCAGGTGCTTGTCGAGGAACGTTTCTACAGGGTTCGTTGCCTTTGCTATTTGGTTCTCCTTGCTTGTACCATATTCTTGTTCTATCAATTTCCTTAGTGAAACTCTGCTTGAATTCTACTAAGTCATTTTCAGCACTCTTGAGAATCACTGCCAGAACTCTGACCGTGTGTCCCACGCTAGTTAAGCTCTCCCGTAGAATAGTATTCTCCGCATGGTGCGGTGAGCGTGGAAGGCCCCGTGTTAGAACCTTCAGAATAGCCGACTTCAGCGTCCATTACCTAAGTTGTAGGCCGGCAACCAGCTAGACTGCCATGGATGACCAGGAGGTCGCAGCAGGAGTAGAAGATACTTTGCAGGCGCGGTTGGATGGTGTTCGGGCACGCCACGAGGCTGGCGGGTACGGCGAGGCGGACTTGGAGATTATGCTCCTTGGAACTCGTGCGCAGTGGGCGCGTGAGCATCCCCCTCCCCGTGCAGAAGCGGACGGTGCGTCCGCCTCTCCCCGACCCGTGCACAACGAAGGCGATGGCGGAAATGTTGTCGGCGGTGGAAGCACGAGGGTTCGCGGAGTGATTCGACCCGTCGAAGTAAGCATTGGCGGAGTGCTAGCGCAAGTGCTGCGATCGTCTGCGACTGGAGGCAGCTCGAACGGCAACATCGATGGCCGACGTCAATCTCCTCTGCGGAGTGGAGTCAGGCCGACTTCGGCAACTCATGCGTCGGCTGGTCGAGACGGAGGCATCGCGCCGGCGTATGGCTACTTCAAATTTTCGCCGGACAAGATCGCTGTGCCGAAGCCGCTCGAAGGACGACACGACTTGATCACATGGATTGAGTCCATCGAGCCGCAGCTGGAGATTGCCATATTGAAGAAGTTCGTCGACGGCAATGTTGCGACGCCGGACGCAGACGACTCTGAACTCTGGGCGGAATTTCGCGCTGCTCATCTACTAACCTTCATGGTCATTTCGAGGTGTTGTTCGCCTCTGGTGCAGGTCGCATTGACGTCGTGCAGACAACAGGTGGATGCTGGCTACCAAGCGTGGCAGTACATTATGCGCACGTACAAAGCAACGGACGACCTCTACATCAGCCAGCTGGAGAGGAAATTGGCCAACCTTCGGATGGGCGAGCAGGAATCGGCGACCGAGTACTGCAATCGAGCGTGACGCATTTTGGCCGACATGCGGATGGCTGGCTTCGAGTACTCGGTGGCGTCGTATGTCACGCATGTCATCAATGGCCTCCCCTCGAGCTACAATCTGATGCGCCGGATGCTGATAATGCCTGGCGCGCGTGAGTCGCTCAACGAGGACACGCTGTCGAGCCAGATCATCAACGACGAATTCATGCAGGAGTCTGAGCGGTCTTCAGAGCTCCTTCCGCAGGCCAACTACGTTGCTCCGACGAAGCAGGGACGTCAGACGGGGCAGCGCGGAAAGTCGGGCGGAAGTGGAGGCAGTGGCGGGAAGTCGTCGAACGCGAAATCGACGGAGGGCGCCGATCGCGGAAAATCGGCGAAAGGAGGAGATCGCGGCAGCAGTGGCTCGCGTCGAGAAGGACGGCGGTGCTACATCTGCGATGCTCCCGACCACCTCTCATATGATTGCCTCGACCGAGACGAGTCTGATGACGACCGGGACGCCAACCGCAAGAAGGGCGAAGGTGGCCGTCGTCGTCGAGAAAACCAGCCGCGCAAGGAGAAGCAGGCGTCGAAGACGGCTTCGACGAAGGATGCTGACTCCTCTGACGGCGATGCTCGTGGTAAGGAGGCTTCGTGCTCGATGGTCAGCGTGGTGGAGCCGACGATTTTGCTGGCGCTGGAGGCTGGCGAGGACTTCAAGGCGGTCGCTGCTGCTGTGGAGGCGAACCCGACGGTCGTGCTGCTCGACAGTGGCTGTTCCCACCATCTGATGGGAACGAAGGAGGCGTTCGTCGAGATGAAGCCTCGCGGCGATGTCAAGCATGTGCGTGGCTTCAACGGGGCGCTGCAGAACGTCGAAGGCCGTGGCACCGTCGCTCTGCAAGGGGAGACGGGGAAGCAGATTCTCGTTCCTGATGTGCTCTACGTTCAAGGCGTCCATTCGAACTTGTTGTCTTCCGGCCAGCTCAAGGAGCACGGCGTGAAATTCCAGGACGATGGCGTGGAGCTGGTGCTGGTGTCTTCTGCCGGCGATGTCCTTGGTCGCGCCCGCTACTCTGGCAGAGTGCTCTGCACGGACCTGCGCCCCTGCTCGACGAAGTCGACGGCGACTTCGACGGAGGTTGTGGCTCTGCGGACGATTGTGTCGGCGACGAAGTCTACCCCGGGCCAGCTGCACGCTCGCCTTGCGCACGTCGGCATCGACACGATCAAGAGCTCGGCGAAGCATGAAGTCGCCGCTGGTCTGGACATTAAAAAGTCGACCGCCGATGATCTGCCGTGTACCTCCTGCGTTGGCGGCAAGCTTGCACGGCATACCTTCCCCGACCAAGGATCGGACGCCAAGAACGCGCTCGACGTGGTCCACATCGACCTCTGCGGACCGTTTCGCGTGGCCGCCGCTGATGGCAGCCTCTACTTCCTGCTACTGAAGGATAGAAAGACGCGCTACGTGTGGGTTCGGCCGATCGCGAAGAAGAGCGAAGTCCTGGTCGTCTTCGACAAGTGGCTGAAGGAGGTGGAGCGGCAGACGTCGAAGACGGTGAAGAAGCTGCGTTCTGACCGTGGCGGGGAGTTCCTCGGTCGTGCCTTCACCGCTCTCGTCGAGGACAAGGGAATCCTCCACAATCTGACGTGCCCCTACACTCCGCAGCAGAACGGGATGGCCGAGCGGGAGATGCGCACAGTGGTCGAGGCCGTGCGAACGATGCTTCTGCACATGGGCGTGAAGCATCACTGGTGGCACCTCGCTCTGCGGCAGGCTGTCTGGGTGCGCAACTGCCTCGAGCGGGCCTCACTGCCGAAGGGGACGACGCCCCATGAGCTGCTGTTCGAGGAGAAGCCGGATCTGACTCTGGCGCACGTGTGGGGCTGTATGGTGCAGTTCATGGTCCCCGAGCAGCAGCGCGGCGGGAAGCTGGCGCCGAAGGCTCGTTGGGGTCTTCACCTCGGAGTGTCGCTCGAGAGCAAGGGTTGGGAGGTGCTCGATCTGACTGCCAACAAAGTCGTCACGACGGTCGAAGCGATCTTCTACGAAAACCTGTCGATGGAGAAGTGGAAGGCGGAGTACGGGCCGGCGTCGACGAGGACGCCCTCTGCTCCGCCGCCACCGCCCGATTCCTCTTCGACGGTTCCTCCGTTGCTCGCCGACGTGGACGAGCCTGATGACGAGGACATAGAAGAAGTCCCGCTCCCTCCTCCTGTTGTGCCCTCGTCGGCCGCCGGCGATGAGGGGAGACTTTGCTCGTCGCCTGCGGCGCCGACCGGTTGCATCGCCGGTGGCCGACGTGACGAGAAGGTCAGCGACGGGAAGCGGCAGACGACAGGGGAGCTGTCGGCGTCGAAGCCAACTTCAGAGAACCAGCTGGCAGAGGCGCCGAAGCAGACTGCATTGGAGCCATCAGCAGAGGTGCCAGCGTCAGGGGAGCCGTTGGCAGAGAAGCCGATTCTGGGGGAGCAGCTGGTAGAGGAGCTGCCGCCAGGGGAGCAGTTCGACG